CATTCAAATGCACAGTATTTACGAAAATGTGGTTCTTCTGTTCGAAGTTTCTCTATTCGAAGTAGTGAATTATGGATTGACTGAACGAAAAACCATGAAATACCATGGATGAAAAACCATAAACTAATTCACTAACAATATTTTGTGGAGTTGGTTTTTCTTCTGGTCCAATCTGGTAACTTTCAATAACACACCTGAGAATGGGATGTCCTTTTTGAAGGTATACAATTTCATGTGTGAACTACTTTTCCTAAGATTTCTTTCTTCATCATCCACATATCGGATCCAAATCCGTGGGAATTGAGTAACCTAATTTCTCTCCAAATCGCCCTTTGCTCATAAACAGTGGGTTTCATATTGCCGTGCTTTCATACTTTCATACTGTCTAAAAAACCAGTTGCTGATCTGGAGGCAATTCTGTACCATGCATATATGTGTTAGCTGTATATATTTTTCTACCACTTCACCTGAGAAAATTTCCCAAATATTGAATACTTTATGATGAAAAAACATTCGAAAATAATGAGATTACATCAAATGATACTGAAAAAGTTCCATCTTGGAACTTTCTATCCTTGATTTTCTTCAAAATTCCTGATGAATTAATAATACAGCACAATGAACAAGTGTCATTTATTTTGTTGATTTTAGTTATCAATTGGTGGACCTCTGAATATTAAAATGGGGCTGGTATAACTTTCGAAACTGTTCTCGTACTAGTTTGAAGCTAAAAGGCTCATGAGGTTAATAAGGCTGATTTCAAAAAGGATCATAGTAATAATGTGTTTCTGTTATTTTGAGAGATTCATTCAAATGACCTCATATGTTTCTTTCTGTGAGGCTTATCAAAGCTAATCCTAGAAGTTATCCTCTTTGCATGGGTTTAATGTAGCCATTATTCCTTGAGTACTTATAATGCCCTGTTTGGAATCCTTGAGAGGAAGGGAAAGATTAACCTTCCTCTTGAAGATGATCACATGGTGATCAAAACACGTGTTGAGGTGTTGAAATAATGGTTTGACTTTGACTGTTCATGTCGCTGACAAACTAGGTGTTCCATATTGGTTCAGCATATCCTAACTGGGATCTTATGATGGATCGCCCATTCTGATTCATTGGTTACCATAACTTCCCGAACTTTTGCATAGGAAGTGAGAATGATTTGACTGTAGTTTTCTGCGTCGACCATACTTGTGCTGATTGTCAATGTCGTATCTTTCTGAAGCGACATTTGCTTGATATCACTCAAGAAGTTGAAATTGAGTATGTTCAAAGTCGTTAAGGGCTGCAACAATTGATAATGTTATTTTAACAGACATTGTAGTGATTATTCAGAAGCTTGCAGTTTTTGGAGGTGAGTTTTTCTGTAGAACATGTTTTCTTCTTTGAGAGATGCGAATAAAGTGCAGCTGGTATATCTATGGAGCTGATAATTGGTTGGTAATTCTGTCGTACGGTATTCGTTCTAGAACTTATGTTATTCAATTTTGTAATGAACAAAACAATGACTAATGGCTTTTTCAGATTTTTTGGTGCATAATGCTTATGTTATTTCCGAAGCCTTTTCATAAACTTTCAACACATAACATTTTCTGTAGAAAGATGATACTTACTTGTTTCATGATTCACTTTGTGACAGTTCGTGAAATGTTTATCACTCAGTGGTGTTTATGATTCTTATGAGATCTGTGAAATAGCTGTCATTATCATCAGGCACCTGTCCATCTTCCTCGATAGCTCGAACTTTGCTCTGGCTCTTGCAGGATTGTTTTGCAGCCTCAAACTCTAGAGCGCTTGCCAGTGCATCCACGAGATATTTGGGATGAGCTAGTGTCAAGGCCTGCCTCGTTTCTTGGTCGCGAAGTCTGCAAATTTTAACAAAGTGACTTATACAAAAAAATAAAATGAGCTGTTTGGAATGGGAACTTGTTCACTGTGCAGAGTTCTCATGCCACACTTTGCTATTTCCAGACTTTCGAAAGCATTCAAAAATCCAGTGTTGTGTACCGATCTCAACAATTTCAGACAATTTTCATCAATTATATGGCCGTTCTCCACGGCTTGTTTAGCAGCACCAGAATTTCATGTTCTTCGAAATCGGATATCTATTGAAACAATCTGATTTTCCGTTAACCAGCTGTCGTCCATCCACGAACTACTACTCTCAAAAGTCGAAATTTGTGCGAGCTAAGGACCTACGGGACCTTACCTTTCAACATGTGATTCCTTACACTGGTTAGACGATATGAAGTGAAAATCAATCGTCCGACCTTGCGTTTTTAAACTCTGGTTCACACAGCGGTGGATTGAGTGAATGAAGCAAACCACATATGTGAACACACCAGGCTACCGTCCCACCATATGTGCTGCGTGTTTATTGAGAACCTAACCTAACTTATCTTTTGCTTCCAATTCAGATTTGCTCATGAAGAGATTAGCTATGAAGGGGGACAGGTTTATAGAGAAAATTATCTTTGGTGTCGAACACCACGACTTGATAAAAGAGTGTTCGTTTTCAAATAATATCGTTTTTATCTAAAAGCTTTCTGAAAAAGCAAACATTTGATTGCGAGATATTGGTTGAATTGAGTGATTCATATTCTCTATATAGTTATTATGCTTATATCACTCCAATGAACTGTTTTCTGAAGGAGTAGTACAAATGAAATGCATAGAAAAATGGAACGATAATAACACTAAAAGCTTTCTCAATTAGGGCATGTTGGAAAATATTCCACTTTTGTTATAGCCTATAAAATAGTGGTCCGCACAGAAAGTACATGATGACATATAAATTCCTTCATCGACAATGACAACGGAATAAAACGTAGGTTTTTAGGTATGAGAAATGATCCACCCATGAAATGAAGGATATAAAAGTTGAACATGTACTTGAATATTATGCTGGATTCTTGTAAAGTTATACGGGACAATAAAAAATCCCATTTTCGAAAAGAATGTTAACTTCATACTATATCTATAGGGTGACCAGAAAAAATTATCGGCTTTTTCAAATCATTGTTTCCTGACAAAACCATCCTGTTCTAACGGTCACATAAGGAAAGTTAATTCAACTTGATATAATTTTCCAAAACGATGTTTAACAATATCGATTTCTATTTTGATAAATTTCAAATTCTAAAATATACAATTAGGCAAATAGCATATTTTTTTCTCCAATAGATATTGCCGTATTTAAATTTTTTCATGTATATAATTTCTGCAGTTATAAACATATATTCATTAGGGGGCCTTACTTACCTCTTCAAATTGTATTCTAGAGTGATTCTCAAATTAATCAACGAATGGAATAACCAAACCATAGAGACTGAAATATGTGATAATTTCCATAATTACTTCAAAATGATATTGGATAATGAAACTCTGGGAGTGATACACTTTAATATAAGGGGTCTACGAAAGCACATGGAGGAGCTACTTGTTTTTATACAAATGGCTAAAGAATCACTGGATATAATTGTCCTATCAGAAACAAGAATAATTGAATCGGTAAGTAACTTCACAATCCCTAACTATACTCAATTCTATAATGAATCAACCATAAATAAATGCGATGGGGTCATGCTACATATAAAAAACGACATATCAGCAGATGTAACAGTAGTGCAAATGAATGACAGTCGTTTCCTTAGAGCTAGTTTCACCATTAACCATATTGTAAAGCAAATTAGAATAGGATTGACAGCATATTACAGACCACCAGCAACAAACAACTCAGATTATACTAACGACTTGGAAAACTACCTATCCACTTTGAATAAACAAAATATAGAAATTTATTTAGGAGACATAAACATGAATTTATTAAACATTCATAATAATGAAACGAATAACTACTTGAATTCTAGGTTTCATTGATTTTATTTCATGCATAAACAAACCAACCAGAGTAACTAAAGATACGAATTCCGCTATTGATCATATTTTCATAAGACAAGACAGTTGTTTCATAAAAAATGTTTCTATTCCACCTATAAATTTGTATACAGATATGACAGACCATTATACGCCATTTGTATGCTTCACCTTTTCAGAAACTAAAAGACACAAAGATGACCATAATAAAATGAATACAATAATCAACCATAAAAAATTAAACACTTTACTTTCAACAGAAACATGGAAAAGTGTCTTGTCAGAAACGGACCCTCAGCAAAACTATGACGTATTTATTAGTATACATTACAACCTGACAAATTTCTACATGATGAATTTATCATATAAGATATTGACCTTTTCAGAATCAACCCGTTGAACTGGAGAAAAATGAATACAATTTTTTTTCTATGAACTCATTCTACCTACTCACGTAATTACCAGTTTCCTCAGTGAGCAATAAACCAGAATCCTCAATTCTATCGATTTCTGAGCATTTCAAAAAGTTTGGTGTTGAACCTTTTTCTTAAGCGCACTACGTCATAATCGTGATTCTCTATTGAGTAATGAGTCGAAAATGTTGGATTGATCTTCTTATTTTTTTCGTTTTGCTGATATAAAATTTAGGAAAAGAACCACAAGTCAACTCATATCTCTTTGAAGCATGGTGGTACACGTTATGCACCACATATTCCTAGTCCTTTAAGCATGGTGGTCCATGAAATGTACCACATATAAATGAATTTTTCTCGGAGTTGCATAACGGTTTATTTTGTGAACCACAGCGTGTCGATCTTTGTTTACATATAGACTCGATATTTCAAGGCCGAATAAGACACCACCTGACAGTTGAATTATTGTACATCATATTAGTTGTTTTTATGACAGTAGGGTGTGCTGTTGTTGGGCGTTTCCTCTCGTAAACAAAATTCATTTGTTTCTTTATTGTTTTGATGGCATACATCGATAACTGATATACTCAGGTAAAGAATATTGTATGAAATGAAATAAAATACTCGAGATTCTGTTACTGAGAGTCTCATTTGTGAATATTCAATATTCGTACCACCTTGCATGTAGGTTATTTCTCTTTTAGCGCCAAAATGGATGATAATGAAGAATTGCCATTCAGATTAGTGGGTTTATCCAGAGCCGAATTGTACAATGAATTATACGCTGATATTCCTTTGGGAAATGAATCAGGAAACGATTCGGATGATATTGGTAGTGATTCTGAGAATGTAAATGAATTTCAGAATATCGAACCACCATTAGAACTTGAGATAGATGATGATTGGGAGGTTGATGATCTACTTCCACTCTCAAATTTTAGAGATGTTCCGGTCGTTCGACAGAAACCAGAATGGAATAAAACTTACAATGTCGCTGTTGCGACCCATTTCTCAGAAGACAGTGGCCCTGTGAATATTTCTGGCATTTCTAGACCCTGTCAACTTTTTGAGTTGTTTTTATCTGATAACATACTTGATGACATCGTTTTCCAAACGAACTTGTATGCAACTCAGACTAGACACGGTCGTATGTTCAAACCTCTGACTATTATTGAACTAAAATGTTTTCTGGGCATGAATTTACTGATGGGGTTGAAAAAATTGCCTAGCTATCGGGACTACTGGTCATCTGCTGCTGACTTTCATGACAGTTTCGTGAGCAATTTGATGACAGTGAATAGATTTGGATGGATTCTCACAAATCTCCATATCAATGATAATGCATTGATGCCATGTCGTGGTTCGCCTGATTTCGATAAACTTTATAAAATTAGGCCGTTCCTGTCGTCATTACAAACAAATTTTTTGAAGTACTTTAGACCATCCGAATTCATAGCTATTGATGAGTCTATGATAAAATTCAAAGGCCGTTCCTCACTAAAACAATACCTACCAAAAAAGCCTATCAAACGTGGGTACAAGGTTTGGGTATTGGCAGATAAAAGTGGATATTGTTATAAATTCGAAATCTACACTGGAAAAACAGGAAACTCGTCCGAGAAAGCTCTTGGGGTGAAAGTTGTGACTACATTGTGCAAAGGCCTTGAAAACAAAGGTCACAAGTTATTCTTCGACAATTATCTCAGCAGTGTTGAGCTTATGGAAGATTTAAAAAAGCTAAAAATATTCGCATGTGCAACTATAAATCCAACAAGAAGAGAGTTACCCGTTTTCCGAATAGATCAGGAATTGAAACAGGGCGACTTTGATCATTATACAAGCAACAATGGCATATATACAGTCAAATGGAAGGATAAACGTTGCGTACATCTGATTTCGAACTATCATCAATCAAATGAAGTGACTAAAGTTAATCGTAAAACAAAAACAGGAGTTATCCAAGAAGTTCCCTGTCCAGCCATTCTATCTGATTACAATGCTCACATGAATTCCGTTGATAAGTTGGATCAACTGAAAAGTTGTTATGAAATCGACAGAAAGTCAAAGAAATGGTGGCATAGGATTTTCTTTCACTTTTTAGATGTATGTATTGTTAACGCATAGGTTCTACATAAGCAACTGGATGCTTCTTCCAAATTAAGTATGAAAGATTTCAGACGTGAAGTAATCACTTCATTGATATCACACACAAAAATATGTCAAATATGGTCAGATGCCCTCGAAACCTATACAAATCAAAAAACACAAGCCGTATGTTCCCCCAGAAATAAGACATAGGGAAAATGCCCATATGCCTGTATATGGCTCAAGAAGAAGATGTGCACACTGTAGCACCAGAGAGAAACAGATACATACCAACTGGATGTGCGAAACCTGCAATATCCCATTATGTTTATCTAAATCTAAGAATTGTTTTTCTGATTATCATAATGTATAATCAAGGATAATATTGTACTCAAATCAACTTAATATATAAGGCCTGGTTTTCATGTTTGTTCATCCTAATATCCCTAGTTGCATGGTGGTACATATGACATACCACCTTAGAATAGTTACTTAAACAAAACAAAAAATTCTATAAACGTACCTAGGGTATATTTCATTAATTAGTGTTCAATAATAACGAAAGAAACTGAACGAATTACAGAAATATATATTCTGTGCTGCTGAGGTATATTTCGCAGTGTTCGCTCTGTGCCTCAAAGAGTTAAAGGCTCCTCTGCAGGAATCTCTTGTATTCATATTGAAGACTATTCTGATAATTTTTTTTGACATAGGAAAACTCTGTTCAACTCATGATATGAGCCCCAGATGATTATCCCTAGTCTCATAGCAGAGTAAAAATTCGCATATTATACTGTAACTAGTGCTTCAAGATCAACATTTTTTTTAGAACTCTTCATGGCGTATGTTAGGTGGGATAGTTAATGGCAAAGGTTGTCTAACTGTCTAGTCCAACTTAAAGTGTCATCAATGTATATGCCTAGAAACTTCACTGAAGTATTGCAAATGATTTTTTTGATTGTGCATAATTATATTTTGTGGCGTTTCTATACTGTTATTGATTTTGAACATGATGCAATTGGTTTTTCCATCGTTTAGAACTGACTTATTCTCCAAAAAATAATCTTTGAATTGGTCTATTATTTTGTTACCCTTCTTTATAATATCAGGTAAGTTCGCACCTGTTAATAGAAGGTTGGTATCCTCAGCATAATTGATCATGTGAGCAGTGTTTATGTCTGCTATAACCTCATTAATATCGTTGATAAATATCATAAATAATATTGGACAGAGAATGTTACCCTGTGGGACACCCATAGACACATCCAGAGCATCCGATCTTGCCGTTTTGTCATTTTGATTGAGTTTTTCTATTTGTTTTATGTTTTTGTCATAAGATTTTCCACAAATTCCATATTTACAGTTTCCATAATAAAATGTCATGATCTATGCAATCGAAGGCTTTAGATATATCCATGAAAACTCCACATGATAGATCTCCTTTGTCCAATGCTCCTAGGACTCCATTGCTGAAATACATCAAAGTAGTTTCAATTGACTTATTTTTCAGATAGCCATGCTGGTTATTAGAAAACACTTTGAAGTTTGTAAAAGATTTTACTAATTGATTGGCCAGTGCTGTTTCAAAAATTTTTGATATACATGTTAAAAGACTGATTGGCCTGAAGTTGGAAATGTCCGACTTATTCCCTTTTTAGTAAAGTGGTTTCACTATCGCTATCTTCAGTTCATCTGGAAAAACTCCTTCCTCAAATGATTTATTAATCAGGAAGGTCAGAATACATACAATCTCATCAGCACAGCTTTTCAGTATGTGTATGGGTACTTCATCAATACCCATGCTTCTCTTGTTCTTCATTTTGTTTTTTATTGAGAGTATCTCATATTCTGTGACAAGGTTCAAGAACAGTGTTACTGCAAAAGGCTATCGACCTTTCAAAGCCACTCACCTTGCCAATATCCTTCTGTGTTGACAAGAGTTTAGGAGCAGATTCGATGAAGTATTTGTTGAAGCTATTGGCTACCTTGCATGAATAATCGTGTTCAAATTGTACGATTTGGGATGCACCTGTCACTTCTCTAATAATTTTCCACATCGTTTCGGATTTATTATCCGATTATTTCTATAATAGTCATATTTTGCAGATTCCAAGTGATTCATGTAATTCCTCTTTATCTCCTTATATGCATTTTTAAAATCAGGATCAATTGTAGAAATGGATTGATAAAAAACAAGTTGGTTTTTCATTTGTGTAATCTCAGGTGAATTTAAATCTTTATTTTCAATACGTTTCTGGTTATAATGCGTTTTTGGAAAGTGTAGATCAAAGTGAAAATTGAAAGTTTTACTGAAATTTGAGAAAGCTTTTGTATCTTTCGCACTGTATACATTTGTCTAGTTCTCGGACTTTAGGTTTGTGCAAGTTTCACTTATTGATTTGGAATCATAATATCATCTCTGAACTTTTGTTATTGATTGGGTTTTGTTTAAGTCATATAACACTTGCCCTGAGTGATCAGATATACCTGTTTCAATAACGTTATCTAGGCAGGAACTGGAATGGGGATAACCCTTGTTGGTTTGTTGATGGTTAAAATGGAATTATAAGTAGATAACAGATTTCTGAAGTCTTTACAGGTATTGCTTGTAAGAGAAAGAGTGGTCCATGTTAAAATCACCTGCTATAAAGTAAATACAGTTTTTTTTCATAAAAGATATCTAACATGCTCTGAAATTTAGTTATAAACAATTTAACGTCACTCGATGGGGACCTGTAGATGCAAACTACATGGAACTTTTGTTTCACCAATTTTGCAGGCTTCACTGGAGCACTCAAAAACATAGTTTTCAGCTAAGACGTTCACTTCGTCGATGGGACTGCTAACGATCTCTTTGGATACATATACAGCTGAGCCTCGACGACAATAGCTAGACACTTGAATAAGATCATTAAAGTTGTAATTAGGCATTCCAACGATGTGTCAAATAAATTCAAAATGGCGCTTGTAGGATATACACTGATTATTTACGTTTAAACATTTATGATATATATTTAATTTATTCTTTTAATCAGTGCCAGAATTTGTGGAGTGTAGTGATTTTTCGCAGCAGTAACAATTATAATAGTGTTTACAAGGTATTTTCAATATAATGCCTATAACTTGCATTGTAGTGGGTTATGGAAGTCGTGGAATGCGAGATCGAGTGAGTTTTTACAGTGTCCCCAATCACGAATTCTCCGCACTATCCTCATGTAAATGAGTTGTCAAGAAAGCGACGAGAAATGTGGTTAGCTGCCATAAAAAGGCAAGATCTAACGGAGTCCATTCTAAGAAATCAGAGAGTTTGTAGCAGACATTTCATACAAGGTATTTTTTACTCTCGTCCTTTTAAATGGAGTAGCCTCACTGTATTAGGTGGCAAAATGATATATAGCAAATATGAAATACATCGAGCAATGTATTATTCAGGCAAGTAAGATTTGTATGTTTTATTTTTCAGGAAAACCAAGTCCTTTAGATGATAAGGATAACCCCGATTGGGTTCCCTCCCAAAACATGGGCCATCTCTCAAGCCTTTATCAAAAGGAAACATGACATGGACAGAAAACAGAGAGTCGATAAAAGACAAAAACTGGTAAGATATTAATTAAAAACATTAATGATGGTAAAAATGTTGTGATATCAAATTTTAAAACACAAACTTTTTCCAGATACACAAACACGACTCTGCAAATCCTGTTATGGAGAAGGAGCCAAATGATGAGGATCCCCACCTATGGTTGCGATGGTTTAGCCTCGCAAACAGATTTAACAATGGAAGCACTTGATATAAAATTCGAACAGTTGCAGTTTGCCTCTGAAAAAATTGAAAATTTGAAGTGCAAGATTGAACATTCTCCTCTTGGACTAATTATTGATACTGTAAAATGGACCTATTACACAGGATTTGAGTATGACATTGTCAACCAAATCATATTTGTGGAAGTAAAACCATGTATTCCCACTACGTCAACAACGTTTCTCAGCCCTTTCAATCGATTGTTACTTACTCTTGTAAAGGTGCGACTGAACTTACAGTGTCACAATTTAGCTTACCGTTTTGGAATTGCTCCAACAACAGCATCAACATACTTTTACAATATTATACATATTCTGTATCAAAGACTAAAATCATTAATAATTTGACCTACCCGTTCAGTAAACCGTAAAAATATTCCATCATATTTTACAGAGGCATTTCAGGATAAGACCACTATTATTGTTGACTGTTTTGAAATTTTTATAGAGAAACCTAATAAGTATCTTACTCAGCAACAGTGCTGCTCAAATTATAAACATCATACTACAGTAAAATTTTTAATTGGCATTACCCCTCAAGGAACTATTAGTTATATAAGTGAGGCTTGGGGTGGACGAACTTCAGACAGACAAATGGTGGAGTTAAGTGATTTTTGCAGTCATATTAAACCTGGTGATATTATTTTAGCTGATAGAGGATTTTTGATTTCTGAAAGTTTAGGTATTCTGGGGGCGAAACTAGTAATTCCAGCTTTCACTAAAGGGCAAAGTCAACTA